TGATCCCTGACTAGATAGATATGAACTACCACACCCAATGACCTCTGTTGTAACTTTAAAAAAGCATCGAGAGAGAAAGATGGCATGAGACAGAGTTCAAGTGGAGGTTTTTTGTTTTTGTTTTTAATTAGGGGAAAGGGATGGTAAAAAGGGGAAAGAGGAGCAGGGAGACTGGCCTCGAGGGACAGGAACAGCCAGAAAGGAAAGAGAGGCGCAGAGGTGGGGGAGAAGGATGGGAGGTGGGCAGGGCCCTTTTAAAAGGGAACACAGTGAATGCGCACAGGTGGTGCTCTTAGTGGCCGAAGCTGAGGGAGTATCCTGTCATAACTGGCAGGCCTGAATACTAACATTAAACATCCTGAAATCTTCAGAATCAGACTCACTGGGTAAATTTGCTGAAATGTAGGTTTCTAGGAAAAATCTAGGACCTGAGTCAGAATCCAAAGTTCAGCACTTGAATCTGTTCTTTTTTGGGGTTTTGTTGTTTTAAGACAAACTCTCTTTTAAGATTATTTTTTCATATATATATATATGTAAGGTGTGTGTGTGTTTGTATGTGTATGGCACATGTGTGTAGGTGCCCATAGAGACCATTAGATCCCCTGGAGCTGGAGTTTACAGATGGTTGCAAGTAGCCCAACATGGATGCTGAGAACTGAACTCAGGTCCCCTGGAAGAGCGGACAGCACTAACTGCTGAGCTATCTCCCTAGGCCTTCAACAGACTTTTTTTTGAGACAAGGGCACTGACTGGCCTTGAACTCATAATCCTCCTGGCTCAGCCTTTATTGTAGCCCCAGGATTATAGGCGCATGTTACCGCACCCAGCTACTAACCTCCTTATATCATTTTCAGATGATAGATAACCCATGGGTTCGCATGCCTAGGTACCCGGTTTCTTGTGATGTGGAAATGCATCTGTGGCTGACTGTATCTGCAGAGCGCTGCTGGTCAAAGTCCATTGTCGAGTCCACTTCCATAGCTGTATCTTGCTATCTTTGTTGTCTCCTATAGCCTCACCCAGGAGATACTGCACTAATCCATCTTGTCTCTGGGCTCCTCTTGGATGTGACATTTGCTTAGTCTGTCCCTGCATTAGACATTGGTCAGATACTTTGCTTGCTGCCCCTCCACTGGGGCCTCTCCTTTATCTGATGATAAGACAGAGGTCATGGGTCACTGCAAGTATTGCAGAAGGGTCCAGTGTTGTCAGACACTATCAGCATGATTTATGTCCTCAGCTTGCTGGCTGTGGTTCTACTTCTCAAATATCGACCTGGCAGATCATTTATGCCACAGAAACAAGAGTTGGGAGGAAGGCCTGACCGTGTATCTTCTGTCATGGTTCTGGCTCTGAAGCCAGTGCTCAGAGCCAGTGTACAGAACTTGCATCCGATGTTCCACAGCACCCGACATCCAACGTCATCCGCCCTCAGAAACCACAAGACAGGCAAAGTCGCCGGGCAGTGCTGGCGCACGCCTTTAATCCCAGCACTCAGGAGGCAGAGGCAGGCAGATCGCTGTGAGTTCAAGGCCAGCCTGGTCTTCAGAGCGAGTGCCAGAATAGGCTCCAAAGCTACACAGAGAAACCCTGTCTCGAAAAAACAAAAACAAAACAAAAACAACAACAAAAAAAGATGGGCAAAGTTATCCCATTCCACGGATGGGGAAGTTGAGTGTGAGAGGTCGTCCAACCAGGAGCCTATTGAGTACCCATTGCTTGGAGCTGCAAGCCTACCTTGGAGGCCACCATGGAAGGGTAAAATGTCCTGGTGGTCAGGTGACCCATAGCCACATGGGAAGCATGGACGAGCTGCATCCCAGTGCTTCTCTTTAAGGGCAAAGATGAGGGGGGAATGTGGGCATGGCCTCCTTTCAGACCCAGGGGCACAAAGCAAGCTAATGGAAGTGAAGCTGGTGCAGCAGCTCACACCTGTGAACCCAGCACTCGGGAGGCTGAGGCAGGAGGATTGTTGCAAGTGTAGGCCAGCCTGGGTTACAGAGGGAGGCACTGGTTTTTAAAAGCTGGGAAAGGTGTACTTGTAACCCCAGCTCAAGAGAGGTGGGACAGGAAGAGCTCTGGGGCTTCTTGGTCATCCTGGCTGGCCGAATTGGTTCATTCGATTTCCAGGTTCATTGAGAGTTCCTGTCTCCAAAAGCAAAGTGGGGAGACTTGAGGAAGAGACAATGTGATCTCCGGCTTCCAAACATATGTAGCCCTCCCCACCCCCCAATAAAGACTTGTTTTTGTTTGCTGGTTCAAACTCCTTGTATAACTGAAGATAACCTTGAACTCCTAATCCTGCTGCCACCGCTCCTCAGTGCTTCGATGACTGGCTTTCTCAAATACAAGCTAGTTTTCCAAAAATAAGCTAACACCCGTCAAAGAAACCCCAAAAGTTATCTGTATGTGGGCCCAAAGTATCTATAGCACAGAGAAATGAACTTATCGAGAAAATGGCTTTAAAAAATCCCGAGGTGATTTTTTAGGGAGAGGTGGTAGGGAACAAGATCAAACACGGAATAGGTTATTAACTGGTAATTTATTAAGAAGGGGTACTCACACGAGGAGCCACTAACCAGATTTGGCACTCTGAGAAGTCCGGTTCCAGATGCCTCCAAGACCTGGCCTGAACCCTGAGAAAAGAGGAGTGTCTCCTCTCCTCTCTCCATCCTACCCCTCTACGTACCTGTGACCATGCCCAAACAGGTGTGGTCAGTGGTACAGGTATCCAGGTCTCTCCCTACAGAGAGGGGTTACTAACATTAAGGATATTTGAAAAGCCACAGAAAAACTCATAAGCTTATTAAAAATATAATTAAGCAGGTATAGTGGTTCATGCCTTTAATTTAATCCCAGCACTTGGGAGGCAGAGGCAGGCAGATGTCTGTGAGTTCAAGGCTAGCCTAGTCTACAAAGCAAGTTCCAGGACATCAAGGGCTGTTTCACAGAGAAACCCAGTTTCAGAAAATAACAACTATATATATAGCATAAATATATAAATTATAATTTTATATAACTATGATAGACTATATTATATACTAAATATATTGGACATAATTATAATTACTATATTTATCATTACATTATATAATTATTATAAAATATAATTACAATATATGTATTATAATTAAAAAGAGAGCTTAAGCCAGGCGGTGGTGGCGCAAGCCTTTAATCCCAGTACTTGGGAGGCAGAGGCAGGGGGATCTTTTTAAGTTCAAAGCCAGCCTGTACCACAGAATGAGTTCCAGGACAGCCAGGGCAGTTAAACAGAGAAACCCTGTCTTGAAAAACTGAAGAAAAAGAAGAGAGAGACACAGAGAGCGCTTGAATGGAGGTGCACTACACAGGAGATAAAGCTCTTCCTCAGAAGCCATGTTATTGAGGTAAAATGCTGGTATTGAGTGTGAGATACCTCCCTTTGAATGGCTGGTCCCCGAGATCCCCCAAACAGAACAAGCTAATGTTGCTCTTGATTGGCCACCAGAATATGATAAGACCTTGTTGCTGAAGACACTACACTTTGGTCATAGGACATGAAGAAATCTCATTAGAACTGACCTTTTATAGCCCGGGGAGGTGCTACACATGCTGCTGGGGAAGAAAAGCCAACTAACAGTCTTATGTAGCTGGGAACCCTCAAGTTACAATAAAAGACAATCTTAGATGGCTCAGAGGTTAAGAGCACTAGCCCTTCTTCCAGAGAACCAGAGTTCAAATCCCAGCGTCTACATGGTGGCTCACAACCGTCTCAATCTCAGTGCAATACCCTCTTTTGGCCCATATACTGCACAGATATACCCAGATAAAATACTCACATACATAAAATAAAAAGAGACCATCTTGGCAAGATATATGTCCATTAGTGCAATAGTGGCACTACTATTATGGATGTAACCAATGGTTTCCTGTTCAGATGTAAAGCCTACTCCACAGGAAGGACTCATGCCTGGTATTGTAAATCTGACCAAGAATCCATGGCTGAAGAGGTCATAGGTCCTGGGAGAGAAGCATCCGTTACTGTCTTGTTCAATTGCCCTCTAAATATGTATCTTAACACAAAGAGATCAGGGCAGCTCCCAGACCGCATCAGAAACTCATCACTGTCCATTCAGTGAACAGCAGTTAACATGAGACTCGCAGATGTTCAAAGTGCAGAATGATTGTGGAGTGACTGCCTAAATGGAGCATCTATATCACACCATCTCCTTCAGGGCTTGGGGCATGTCACAGAAGAGAGAGCAGCAAGATGACAGAAGCCAGAGACTGGGGACACTACTGTGAAGTGTCTTCTGGGCATGACGTAGTCTCTCAGCAGCTTTGGCTGCCTGCACAAGATCAAGCCAGTCAACATTGCAGCAAGGACGGAAGGGGTTTATGGGGACCCACCATCTTGAGCCCCCATTGGTGACTGATAGGCTGCTGGAGGAGGGAGAACCATTTTTCTTCAGGGGTGTAGCCCACAGTAGGCTGTTGATGGCCCCATACCCATGCATGTGTCCCACACTAATTGGTCTCAGGGCTCAAAAATAGATGACTTGAGGTTGTGAGAGAGACATGCTGGGGGTGGGGCATCTAGAAAAGGGGTGATCAAGACATTGTATATGTGCATGTCATTCTTAGAGAATAAAAAAAAATAGATATTTTATAAATCCCTTTGCGTCTGCTCACAGCACTCCTCCCACAACATCATGTGAGAACAGAACCACCCTCCTCGGCTTCTTACACTGTAGACAGGAACAATTATCAGCCTGTAACTATTTAGAGCCAGGGTAGTGGATAGTTACATAAGGCAGGAGATTAAATTAAACTCTGTGTGCTGGAAAGATGGGTCAGTGGCTGCTCTTCCAGAGGACCAGTGGTCCATTCCCAGCATCCCCATGGTGGCTCACAACCCCTTGTAACTCCAGCCCCAGGGCTTTCCTGCCCCTTTCTAGCCTCTATGATACATGAGGTACGTATATACAACAGACACGCTAACACATAAATAAAAATACACCTTTTAAAAGTAATTTTGGGCTTTTTATTTTGGAGTTAGGGTTTCATGTAGCCTAGAACTCATGAAGCCAAAGATGACCTTGAACTCCTGATCCTCCTGCCTCCACAACCCAGGTTCACACTATGACTGTCAAAAGGATTAAATACTGACATGCACTACAGAAAATTCCAAAAAGTAATGCAGGCTGGCCTCAAACTCAGAGCCATCCTCCTGCCTCAGCTTAGTACTGAGATCACAGGTGAGACACCACTTTAAAACAGTGAAAAGACTTTTCCTTAAAGTATAAACACATTCAGATAGTCAGCCATAAGAATCTAAATAAATCATCAGTGGTCATTAGGTGTTGAGGTAATATTCCCCATCTCTGTGAAAAGCTAAACACTGGAAGCAGCCCAGACTGGCCTTAAACTCACTATGTGGCCAAGGATGGCCTTGAACTCCTGATCTTCTGTCTCTACCTCCTGAGTGCTGCATTGAACTCCTGATCTTCTGTTTCTACCTCCTGAGTGCTGTAATTACAAGTCTGAGCCATCATGCCTGACTCTGATTTGATTTTTGAGACACAGTTTCACTGTATAACCCTAGGCTGGCCTTGAACTGTCAAGATTCTAGCCTAAGCTTCCAGAATAGCCCAGATGATAGGCTCTGCCACCACACACAGTTCATCTCTGCAGTGTGTCTCAAGTAGAAAGATTCCCTTTTTCGTTTTTGTTTCATTGGATGGCAGGCGTGGGCACTACTCAGGCCCTTGATCTCACTCTGCACAGTCAACAGCTCTGACTTGTGAAGAGCCTTTGTCTTTGCCCACCCACATCCAGGCATTCACTGCCCCGAATAGCTTTCCACCTCCACAGTGGAGCTTGGGTCCTTGGAGCCCCAAGGCTGCCCAGCACTGGGGAGCTGCTGGTGGCCCAACCTCAGTCTCAAGTTCCTTTCCAGCTCTGCTGCCACCCGGGGGGCTGCAGACTGGATGGCACCCTGGATGCTATGTAGATTCCACTGGGTTCTCAGGAGGGCATCATCCAGCCTGAAGAAGCCATCGCGAGTGCGCCGCACTTGCGTGCAGACAGCGGCAGTCTTCAGCTCCAGGCCAATTTCATGCACCAGCTTCCTCAGCTGCTGCTGGGTCTCATGCATACACTGCACTTCTGTGGGACACAGACATGGACAGACATGATTGCCAGGAGCAGCTCCAGGGACTAAGCTGATTTGGATCCACATTTCTTGGACTCTTCTCCACGAGGAACACCCTTCATGAGATTCCTTTTAGCTTTGCTGGAGGGCCAGGAGCATGGCAGTTGTGCAGATTGCAGGCCTCAACCACACCAGCCAGGTCAGAGTCCAGCTCTGGATCCCGCAGCTGAGGCCCTTCATGAGATTCCTTTTAGCTTTGCTGGAGGGCCAGGAGCATGGCAGCTGTGCAGATTGCAGGCCTCAACCACACCAGCCAGGTCAGAGTCCGGCTCTGGATCCCGCAGCTGAGCTCTGAGCAGGCTGGACTACCAGCAGCACTGCTTACACGTAGTCTACTCATGCGCTGGGAGTGGGGCACAAAGCACCACTTTCATGTAGGGCTTCCCACCAGGGGCTTTGGGCAGTAATTGGGGAAGACCCCAACAGAACACAGAAGAGTCTGGGGTAGAGCTGGGCGAGACTCAGGAAGTGACAGTCATGTTTGAGGGGCCTCTAACAACGTGGACAGCTCTGGAAGGGAGCTGCTAGATCCAGCCTCTGCTTCATTTGTTTTGGGGGTGAGTTTTGAGACACGGTTTCTCTGTGTAGCTCCAGAACTCACTCTGTAGACCAGGCTGGCCTCAGAGAGATCTGACTGCCTCTGCCTCCCAAGTGTTGGGATTAAAGGCGTGCGCCACCTACACCCAGTCACAGCCTCTGCTTCTTAAGAGCTGGCTTCCGAGGCTTGGGAAGAGAAAAGAGGCAGAGGGCAGCCTTGTGCTGTTACTCTGGGTTAGGCTGAACTTGGATCTGGTGGACAGAAGCCAACCACGGCTAGCCAATCAGGGCATTATAAGCTGGCTTTGGCATGCCACACATGACTCCAAACCCAGGCTCCACCACATCACTCCAGCTTCCTGAGTGACTTACCTAAAAGGAACTCAGGAGGTGCAAAGTGCAGGCAGCGGGTACCAGTGATGAGCATCGGGGACTTGTTCATGGGCCGGATCACACCCTGCACGGCCATCTCATAGGCCTCCTGGGACTTCAGGTCCAGGTTGGAGTACCTGGGAGACAGGAGGGCCGGAATGGGAGGCCAGTGTGGGGTATCTGTCCCACCATGAAAAGGTCCTTCACTGTTCGCTACATTCCCCTACTCCCACCCACCTTCAGAGCAGCCTCCCCTGCTTCACCTATCACAGGCTGAGCAATCCTGACCCCAGCCACCTGACCTGAGGAGTGCAACCCCAGGGGACTGCAATGCCACCCCCATTCCAGGGCTCTCGTCACAAATGCCCCAGATCCTCCTGGTTCCCTCTTTCCCGTGCTCACATCATCCTCTCTCACTGCTCACTCTCCTCTGCCGCTGCTGTTCCTGCTGTCTTCGGGTCTAGTTCAGTGGGCACAGGGCACTGTCTTCACAGCCTGCCTAGCCTTCATCACAGGGTCCCCAGTGAGACCACAGCACTTCTTCAGAACTGTCACAGTCCCTGACGCCTGGGCCAACCTTATCCTGCTTCGCTTTGCTCCTGCCTCAGCCCTTCCCACCCCAAGCCCTGACTCTTGGTTTCTGAGCCCACAGGTCATTGCAGCCCCGGCACTCCTGCTGCAGGTGCACAGCCCAGGGCCTGGCTCCTGCTTATCCTTTGAGAATGCTCCCTGAGCCATTCCTGCTGCCTCAGCAGCTCTGCCCCTGCTGTGTTCCTGTCCCCACCTGGAACACTGTGCTCAGGTACAGGTCTCTAAGACAGGGACTTTTCCTGTCCCATTTATAGACAGCTGGTTAGTTTCCTGGAAGCCACAGGCTGATAGGCGGGAGAGTCAGGAGTCCCAAGTAGCCTAGCCTCAGCCAAGCTCACACCAACTAGGTGACTCCATCACCCATTCCTACCCCGTCCTGTGCCTCAGTGGTGTGGGCCGCAGGTTCCCCCCTTTAGATCGCCTGTGCTTCCGTGGTGAGCTCTCAGATCTACTTACATCACCAGTGCCTTTTGGTGGGAGCCTTGGATTCTAGCCAGGATCCGGTCCAGCATTTCTCTCGTCACGTGGTCTGGAAGAGGCACGGCATAGGGGAGCGTCAGTCTACAAATGGCCACAGAAGACAGACTGGGCAAGTGGCTTTAACCCCAAAGCAGCCCATTTTAAAAATGGCCAGAGCAGCCGGGCGTTGGTGGCACACGCCTTTAATCCCAGCACTCGGGAGGCAGAGGCAGGCGGATCTCTGTGAGTTCGAGGCCAGCCTGGTCTCCAGAGTGAGTTCCAGGATAGGCTCCAAAGCTACACAGAGAAACCCTGTCTCCAAAAAAAAAAAAAAAAAGGCCAGAGCATCCGTTGGGGATGGGGGAGGAGGGATGGGGGTGAGGGGAGGGAGAGGGAGAAGGGACTCACATGTGAAACAAGCTTGTTCCCTAACTTGAACAAAAAAAGAAGAAAAAAAAAAAAAAAAAAAGGCCAGAGCATCCGTTGGGGATGGGGGAGGCTATAGGAGGTTGGGTTTGTTCACAGTCCTTTAAAGAGGCCTTAATGATGCTGGGCAGCCACCTCTCCTGCTCCACCTCTGGCTCTCACCGTATGTCGTCTTCTCTATCAGCCGCCCATCTTCACAGAAGCTGTCTGTAGCTTTGCCTAGGAGGCCTCGCACTGTATAATCCTGTGGGGACAGGGCAGGGAAGTCCCTGTTCTAAGCTCTGGAGCCAAAGAAGTGCCAGCCTGATGCTGGGTAGGGCCTTGTAGAGCTCCATACACAGCATGCCTGCTGCCCTCCTGCCCTGGAGCTCAGGGCAGCACTCTGTGCTCTGCTCCTAGTGACCTGGACATGCGACAGCATTAGTCTTCACCTAGTCAAAATGAGCAGAGTGTCACCCCACATATGTCCTGGAAGGCCCTGCTAAGTTTAATGCCCACATCTAGGCAATGTTTGCTGTTCACAGAACCTCCTTCCTCCCACTCTGTACAGACAACCACCTCTTCCTGAGGTGATGAGGACAGAGACGGTGACGACAGGGAAGTCATCAGCTTGTACTCTGCGCCAGGCACTGAGCCAAGGCTTCACACGCAGTCACTTTAGTCCTCAGAGTGACTGTCTCGGGGAATGTTCTCTTCATTCCTATTACAGACTTGAGGAAACTAAGGCACAAAGATGGTCCATCAAGGTCACGTGACTGTGGCTGGCGGAGGGGTAGAATACAGATACCTGTCTTTTAGTGCCGGGTACGGAGAGCTTTGTGCATATCAGGCAAGTGTCTCACCACATCCTTGAATTGGGATTGTGAACTGGAGCCTTTTAGTTCCAGATTCTGTGCTGTTCAGCACTGAAGACACAGACCTAAGGTGTCCCCTTGGCAGACTTCACAGTACCACAGTCTATGGCCCCACCTGGCCCTGGAGGAAGCCCATGGATGGGACGGTGACAGCCACATGACAGCCTGCAGTGAGAATAGTGCTGGGCTTGGACTGTGGTGTGAGATAGATCCAGGCCCAAATTTCAGCTCCTAAGGCCTTATGGGAGAGCAGGGAAGTGGGGTAGGGCTTCCATGAGGGGACCCAAACACAGCTCATGGCTGTGGGTAATGTTGCATCACCAGTCTTTCCTAGTCACAGGTGACAGAAAATGCTTGCTGGTGGCCTAGGTATTTCCTGTCAGTGTGACCCCTGGGAAAGAACCAAGGGATAAACAGGCTGTGCCCACATTTTTGGAGCACCATACCTTGGTGAGGTGAGCATCATACACGTCGGTGAGCAGTCTGAGTCCATGTCCCACAGCGAGCACTGAAAGGCAGACAGACCCCTCTTATACTTAGAGTCCTTGTCCCACTCCTTGCCACCAAAAGACTCCCCCTTCTCTTGCTGCTGCAGCCAGAAGGGGGCACGGAGAGCTCTGACATCCAGGTTAGAAGCCCCTCTGAGCAGATTTCAACCCTGATCTCCAGAGCTCGGGCAAGGATGGAATCTGGCTCATGACGGGCAATGGGCCTGAGCACCTGAGGAAGCTCCCAAAGGGCTCTGAAACACCCCCAATACAAGAGATCACTGTCCCAGCTCCACCAAACTGCAATTACATTTGGGGTGGGAGGGGTGACACACACCTGTAATGCCAGCACTTGGGAGACTGAGGGTGAAGAACCTTGAGTTCCAGGCCAGCCTTGCAAGTAGACAGACATGTCTCAAATAAATACGTTCAGCACTGAAGACACAGACCTAAGGTGTCCCCTTGGCAGACTTCACAGTACCACAGTCTATGGCCCCACCTGGCCCTGGAGGAAGCCCATGGATGGGACGGTGACAGCCACATGACAGCCTGCAGTGAGAATAGTGCTGGGCTTGGACTGTGGTGTGAGATAGATCCAGGCCCAAATTTCAGCTCCTAAGGCCTTATGGGAGAGCAGGGAAGTGGGGTAGGGCTTCCATGAGGGGACCCAAACACAGCTCATGGCTGTGGGTAATGTTGCATCACCAGTCTTTCCTAGTCACAGGTGACAGAAAATGCTTGCTGGTGGCCTAGGTATTTCCTGTCAGTGTGACCCCTGGGAAAGAACCAAGGGATAAACAGGCTGTGCCCACATTTTTGGAGCACCATACCTTGGTGAGGTGAGCATCATACACGTCGGTGAGCAGTCTGAGTCCATGTCCCACAGCGAGCACTGAAAGGCAGACAGACCCCTCTTATACTTAGAGTCCTTGTCCCACTCCTTGCCACCAAAAGACTCCCCCTTCTCTTGCTGCTGCAGCCAGAAGGGGGCACGGAGAGCTCTGACATCCAGGTTAGAAGCCCCTCTGAGCAGATTTCAACCCTGATCTCCAGAGCTCGGGCAAGGATGGAATCTGGCTCATGACGGGCAATGGGCCTGAGCACCTGAGGAAGCTCCCAAAGGGCTCTGAAACACCCCCAATACAAGAGATCACTGTCCCAGCTCCACCAAACTGCAATTACATTTGGGGTGGGAGGGGTGACACACACCTGTAATGCCAGCACTTGGGAGACTGAGGGTGAAGAACCTTGAGTTCCAGGCCAGCCTTGCAAGTAGACAGACATGTCTCAAATAAATACATACATTTTAAAAACAAAATAAATCCAAGTCAAGGTGACACATGCCTGCAACCCCCTGACCCCCCAGTGGTCAGGAGGTAGGAGGATCAAGAGTTCAAGGTCATTCACTACAAGTTGGAAGCCCAGCCTGGGCTCACTGAGACCCTGTCTCAGAAAGCAAGATGAGTATCTTGGGTTTTCTGACTCTAACTTTTAATGTCTTTGGCCCTTAAGCTCTGAATCAGTAAAACAGATAAAGATGCTCAGGCGTGTGTATACCACAGATTGGGGGATACAATACACGGGAAGCTAAGGGCACAAAGGGAAGACTAGAACAGTGGCCTATGGGACCACTTCCTGCCTATCCCATGATCTGTTTATCCTCTGTCTAAAGAAATGAAAGGCTTTCCATTCACTGTTAAAGAGGGGTAAAGGGAGGGGACATGAGATCATGTCTGATGCCTGCACCTCACGAAGAAAGACAGGGAACCAAGACTGTGGAGGCTGGACAATTCAGCTACCAAATGACCCTGAAGCTGCAGATGGCTTGTGACTCGGGGCTTTGTATCCACTTCGGCAATATCTAGACCCTAGCCAGAGTAGACAAAGCCAAATTCCTAGGCTGCACCCTAGCTTAATGGTGACTCCCCAGCATTTCCTGGCCAGGCCAGATCACCTCAGCTCTAGTCCCATTGTCTTCATTCATAACATCACACAGATTCTATCAGAGGTTTGGTAAATAAATGTCCCCCAAAGGCCTTGAACCACATGTCATGCAGAAATCCCTAGACAGGGGTGGAACCTCCCCTTGCACAAGTCATCGTCCCAGTGACCAGACGTATGGAATCATGGCAGATGCAGTGGTGAGAAAGGAAGGTGGGCTGGGCTCCTGACCCTTCCTTCCCGGAACCCACAGACCCACACCCAAGGCTGAGTTCAGCTCTTACCAAGCACACCAGAAGCCCGGGCATCCAAGTGATGTCCAACACCAATCTTCAGGCTAGTGAATGCTGGGCCACGTACTGGAAAGAAAAATCCAGGCCATTTATCAACTATGGGCATATACGCCTTGGGCATAGCTTTGGCATGAGGCCTTCATTCCTAGGACAGAAGAGCCACTGGGGCTCAAATTATGATTGGCTGGATTCTCAGCCTTCCCCTCCATGGAAGGGGCCAGGACTATTTCCCTACTTCCCTGGGTCAAGGGCTCTGCCTATCACCATTCTCCCTATGAAAGGCTCCAAAACCAGACATTATACTGGGGATCACGATGTGGGGTGCTCTTCACAGCATCTACTGATAGAAAAGCTGGCCATTCTCCCACTGAAACTGTGGGCTCCCCAAGGTGGAACCTAGAGCTCTCTGTCTACAACACTGCTCTATGGTTCCAGATTCAGTCTCAACTACTAAAGGCTGAAAACAGTTTAATGTGTCCCAGTACTTAGGCGGCAGATGCAAGCCATCAGGATCAGGATTTCAATGTCATACTCAACTATATAGTGAATTCAAGACCACCTTGGACTATAGGAGGCTCTGTGACAAAATACAAAAGGGTTGGTAAGGTGGCTCAGTAGGTAAAGGTACTGCCAAGCCTGACCATCTCACTTTGGTCCTGGACCCTCACGGTGGACTGAGAGAAGTGACTCTTAAAAGATGGCCTCTGATTTCCACACCCATGCCTTGGCATCCATGCATGTGCACACATACATGCAAGTAAGTTTTTTTTTAAAAAAGGACCTACTGCACAAAACTATGATAAGGAGAAAGGTAACATGATGTGTACAGAGCAGGTATTAATTAATTAATAACCTAAGTCTACCTGAAGTCCTCAGTTTCCATACAGAGTCCTAGAATAATTACAGTCCACAGGTCAAATCATCAAGTCTACTTTGTTCTGACACTGGGTCTGCCTGTGCTACCCAGGTTGCCAGGGAACTCCTGAGCTTAAGTGAGTCTTCTGTTTCAGCCACCCTGGCAGACAGGACTCCAGATGTGTACAACTGTGTTCAATAACGGGTTTGCACTTCAGTCTTAACTAGAATATAAGAAGGATCCCCCCTCTCCATACTTTCTAGAGCTGTTCTGCACTACAATGGAAAGGTGAGTAGTGCTGCCGAAACCACATGGCCTGTAAAGCTTAAATGTTTAAAATCTTCCCTCTCTAAGAACATGTATCAGTCCTTGGGTTAGAAATCTAACTCATGTCAGGGATTTCCTCTGAAAGTCAATACTCTGCCTGACTCTGCCTTACCAAGTCTGTGGGTAGTGAGGGTGGGCACACTGGTGGCTGTGAGTGTCAACTTTTTCTCTTCACTGCCTTCCACAGGGCCTAGCAAGAAGCGAACACGCTGTTCAGGAGCAGGAGGCTTCGCTGCATTGAGACCTAAACACAAAATAACACACTGTCAACACTGTCCCAACACCCTGGAGAAGGGGTAGGCCTATGATAGTGTAGAGGATAGAAGCTGGGTATTGGGGCTGGAGAGATGACTCAGTGATTAAGACCAATGGCTGCACTTCAAGAGGACCAGGGTTCAATTCCCAGCACCTACATGGCAGTTCACAGATGTTTGTAACTCCAGCTCCAGGGAATCTGACACCTTCACACAGACATACAGACAAGACAGACATACATGCTGTCAAAACACCAATTCATATAAAACAAAATTATTAAAAAAATAAAAGAAGATGAAGCTGGGCATGGGTGGGGGTGGGGGGAGCACGTGCATTCAGTCCCAGCACTCTGGAGGCAAAGATAGGCAGGTGTCTGAGTTTGAGACCAACCTGGTCTACAGAGCAAGCTCCAGGGCAGCCATGGCTACATAGAGAAATCCTGTCTCAAGAAACAAAAAAAAAAGGGGGGGGCCTGGGAATGGTGGCACACATCTTTAATCCCAGCACTCAGGAGACAAAGCTCCAGGGCAGCCATGGCTACATAGAGAAATCCTGTCTCAAGAAACAACAAAAAGGGGGGGTGGGGGGGGCCTGGGCATGGTGGCACACATCTTTAATCCCAGCACTCAGGAGACAAAGACAGTTGGATCTCTGAATTCGAGGCCAGCCTGGTCCATAGAGCAAGTTCCAGGACAGTCAGGGCTACACAGAGAAACCCTGTCTCGAGAAAACAAACAAACAATAAACACAAGAGTCCTTTAAGAAAGCCTGGGCTGGAACCATAGCTCAGTTGATGGGATGTTTGCACAACACGTAAGATGCCCCGGGTTCCAGCCCCAGCAGGTGGTACACTGGTGTAGTCTAAACCCTAGCAAGTGAAGGCTGAAGCAGCAAAAAGTTCAAGACTATCCTCAGCACAGAGAAACCCTGTCTCGAGAAAACAAACAAACAATAAACACAAGAGTCTAAACCCTCGCAAGTGAAGGCTGAAGCAGCAAAAAGTTCAAGACTATCCTCAGTTTATATAGCAAATTTGAGCCTACATGTGAGTTGTTTAAAAAACAAAAGGGCCGAGCACGCCTTTAATCCCAGCACTCGGGAGGCAGAAGCAGGCGGATCCCTGTGAGTTCAAGAGCAGCCTGGTCTACAAGAGCTAGTTCCAGGACAGCCTCCAAAGCCACAGAGAAACCCTGTTTCGAAAACCAAAAATAAATAAACAAATAAATAAATAACAAAAGAGGGAACAAAGAAAAAGTGGGGTTTGAAACTCGGTGTGGTGATGCATGCCTGTGAACACAGCATTTGCCAGGTGGAGACAGGAGCCTCAGAATTCTTAAATCCTTACTGACTTCAAGGTCGGATTAATTAATTACTCGAGAAAAGCCAAGAAAAATTTTCAAAGAGTAACCGTGCGAAAATCAACAATACGGAATGCGTTTCTCTAACAGAAAATAGCGGAGAGCGGGGAGTACCGAAATGTATACAACAGAAAACCAGGATGTGGCTGTAACCAAGCGAGGGTGTCACGTGACTTTGTTCTGCAGGAACTCCGGATGGAAGTAATGCAGAACTGTGGGTCCGCGTCCAAGCACTCGCCTTTCAGCAGCTGCAGCTCCACGGTCTCCCGCGCGTGCAGCCATTTCATGCCGGGAGGTTTATAGACCGCGAAGAGGCCCTGCAGGCGAGCCAGGCCCGAAGACCCCATGGCTGGAACTCAGCAGCACCGCATGATACAGGATCTGGGCTGCAAACGGAAGTGCCGCATGGTCCTGTCCCAAATGTGGTCCCTACTGTAAGTCGCTGCCATGTTTCCTCAGCCGGAAGAGGTTCTCATCTTATTGTCCTCCGGGGGGAAACATGCGGTGGAGAAGGAAATAGGGCCGAATGTTGAACAGCATAGCTCTCTATTATCTTCTTTCGGGAATTACTTTCAGGAGTTTTTGTTTTTTGTTTTTTTTTTTCTCATGTATCCCAGGCTGCTCTCGAGCTTGCTAGATTGCCGAAAGTTCCCGATTTTCCAGTCTCTCTTTCCCAAATGCTGGAGTGACAGGTGTAATTCACACCCGGCTTTGTTTTTGAGGCGGGGTCTCAAGTAGCCCCGGCTGGTTTCAAATGTACTAAATAGCAAGGACCTTGAGCTGATCCTCCGGCCTCCAGCTTGCAAGCGCTGGGTTGACAGGCATGCGCTATCGGTAACGCCTAGCTCACAGCGAAGTCTTACGACAGTGGCAGACAAATCCTGTCTTTCCTTCCCACGCCCGCGTCCATATCACATTTCCGATCAAAACGCCACAGCGGGTGCAGCCCGGTGGAGTCTTTTGACTTCTCCGGCCTCCGTCGTGCCAGCGGAGCCCCGCCCACCCACCGCGGACATCCGCTGCCATGGTGACCCTGCTGCTTCGCTCCCTGCGTCCCCACCGCAGTCTCCCGCTCCGTCTGCGGCTGGTTGTAGGTGAGCAGCTCTGACCCGGGCGTTCGCGGCGACTGAAGGAACCCGGCGCCTCTCACCAGTACCCCTTTCCTGCCCCACAGATGTACCCCTCAGGGCCGGGAGCCATGGCCCCCGCCTGCTGTACCCGGGCCACATCCCCACCACCTCGCTGCAAAAGATGTTGCTGGCCGCAGGCTCGGCGGGAATGGCACTCTACAACCCCTATCGCCACGGTAAAGCCGTTCGCTCCCCGCCCTCGAAAGCCGGGGCCGGCAATGACCTCTGTCAAAGCCTTGGTTTCCTGACCGGAGAGTCAGGCAGTCTCGGGCATCAAAACCTGGCTCCACCTATCTCATAGTCCCCAGGAACGTTTATGATAACCGGGTGCCTGGTTCTAGCCAAAGTCACTGTAGTGAATCTTTAGGGCAGAGGGAAAAGAGGTGACGGAAGTGTGGAATCTACAGGTCTTCATTTTTGCAATTCTAGGGAGACTCTGTCATCCATGCATATTAATCTCTGGACTGAATGGCTTGCAGGTACACACCACATTATAACATTCTCACTAGGTAGTAAACTTGGTAAGGTCAAGGACCGTGGTCTTAAGCATTTTCTTTGCTGAGTCGGTTCAAGACCAGCTTGAGCTATATAACCAGCCATTGTCAAAAAAAAAAAAAAAAAAAAAAAAAAAAAAAAAAAAAGAAATGGGAGAGGAAGAAGACCTGTGGAGTTGTTTAGATAGGATCACATATAGAGTGACTGTACCTAGACTTAAAACTAGCAACAATTTTTCAAAATGGTTGTTTTGTTGAAATGAGGTCTCATGTAGATAGACTAGGCTAGCCTGCAACTCACTACTTAGGTTAGGATGACTTTGAATTCCAGATTGTCCTGCCTCCTAACCCTGTGAATGCTGGAATTACAGGTATGTGCTGCCATACCCAGTTTATGTGGTGCTGGGACTCAGACTCAGGGCTTTGAGTGTGCTAAGCAAGCACTCCATCAGCTTAGTTACATCAGCTCTTCATCACCATTTAATACCAAATTTGGCCTGTACTAATAGTGGAAACATGATAATCTATTTTGATAATGGGATATGAAAATGATTCACACACTGTTTCTCAAAGCCTCCATCTTCTAGTAGATTAATGATATTAAGAATAGCCGGGCGGTGGTGGTTCACACCTTTAATCCCACCACTTGGGAGGCAGAGGCAGGCAGGGCTCTGTGAGTTTGAGACCAGCCTGGTCTACAAGAGCTAGTTCCAGGACAGCCTCCAAAGCCACAGAGAAACCCTGTCTTGAAAAAAACAAACAAACAAACAAACAAAAAATGATGTTAAGAGTAACAGCTAGCTGCCACGTGGTGGCACACACCTTTAACCTAGCACTTAGGAGGCAGAGGCAGGAAGATCGCTGAGTGATTGAGGCAAGTGAGTCCCAGGATAGCCTGTACTGAAAAGACTAACTGTCTCAAAAAAACAAAAAGATCCTATCCTCCATCTGTGCCCATTTCTGTCCTTTCAGACATGGTTGCAGTTCTAGGGGAGACCACAGGATACTGCACCCTGAAATTCCTCAGGGACCAGATGAAGAAGGATCCAGAGGGTGCCCAGATCCTCCAGTAGGTCCAAACTTTGCCTTGACATTTGGCAGGAGTCCCATGGGTGGATGCACTGCCTCAGCATTGCTCAGTACCAGGAGCACATGTGTGTATGTAGGCTAGATCCCCTGGCTTGTACAATATGTTGTCTTAGCCCAGTGTCAGCCTCAAGACTCCCCTTGCATTAAGCTCTCTGTGTTAGCTGTACCCCTCCAAATATCTCTCACTATCCCCTCCCTGCAATGTCACTTGTGAGTACCCTTATCACATCTGCGGCCCTCCTCCTCTGACTAGATCATGACTTTGAAGGCATCAGCTCAGCCCTAGTTTGTGATGGTCTCCACAGTCCCCAATACTACAGTGCTCCATTTGGTCTTGTGGCTATGTGGATGTCCTGTGTCCCTTTGCCCACCCCAGCTTCCTCTATGTGGCTCTTTCACTAGCCTTGGCTGACACACTTCCAGTCCGACCTCCTGCATTCTGTCTTTCAGAGAGCGTCCCCGGATCTCACTGTCTACTCTTGACCTAAGGAAGCTTCAGAGCCTGCCTGAAGGCTCTCTGGGCCGTGAGTATCTCCGCTTCCTGGATATGAATGTGAGTTTCCAGCCTCTGTACACCTAGCAGTTACCAACACGGGCAGAGGAGTGGCATGGGGATGATAGCTTAGGGCTTTTTCAGTCATTTTTCTATGGAATGAGCAGATGGACTGGGAATGTCATTCCAAATACTGGCACTAGCTGAAGGTTATTAACTTCCTGTTGCATGCCAGTTGCCAGGCTGGTACATGAGCTGGCTGGATCCTCCCAGTGACCCTGTCAAGTATGTTCTATTGTTATCCTCTTGCAAGAGATGAGGGCACAGGCACAGCACAGTGAAACAACTTGATAACTTCACAGCTAGTACCACTCAGAGCACTGTTCAACCCCAGAGTACTCTCTAAATCACTGCACTGTATCCCCCTGCTGCTCTAGAGTATAGCCAGTGTGGCACTCTCCAGCACCAGACAAGGCAAATGGTGGGAGGAAAGGGGGTTCCCAACTATTGAAGGACTTACCACTTGGCATCTGCCTCCATCATTCCATGCAAGCCAGGACCCTGTCCTCGTGGAACTTGTGCTGTGGTGGTGGTGCACGCCTTTGATCCCAGCACTCGGGAGGCAGAAGCAGATGGATATCTGTGAGTTCGAGACCAGCCTGGTCTACAAGAACTAGTTCCAGGACAGCCTCCAAAGCTACAGAGAAACCCTGTGTTGAAAAACAAACCAAAAAAAAAAATTCAAATGAAAATGTAGTGATTTGGGGATATAGCTCGGTTGGTAGTTTGTGCACAACACCCTGGGTTCAGTTCTCAGAACTGCATGAACTTGGTGTAGAGTGGAAGGAAGATGATCCAAAGTTCAGGGCCAGCCTTACATACATAGTGAGTTTTGGGCCAGTGTGGGCTACATGAGATCCTGCTGCATCCCCTTTGTTGAGGTAGAGTACTTCTTGTGGACTTAGAGTGCCCCGACATCATTCTTGACCGTAGGATGCAATGAACACAAATAGCCAAATTCCTGCTGCTGGGGAGCCTTCAGCCTAGCAGACGGGCGCTCTTACGGAAACAGCATGATGGGGCAGAGGATGTCTCTGGAGGAGTAGAGGAGGACACTTATGGTAGAGTGGTCAGGGGAGACCTTTCTTAGGAGACTTGGAAGATGTTGTCAGCTATGTGGAGTTCTGGGGGAGACTACTTAAGTAGGTGAATCAGCAGTAAGCTCAAGGACTATTGAAAAGGCTGATGCAGGGGCTGGGACCACAGCTCTGCTGGCACAGTGCTGACTACATAAGATTGGGGACACAAGTTTTGGATCCTCAGTGCCCATATGCAAAACCAGATCTGGCATTTCATACCTGTAACCCTAGCACTTTGGAAGTAGGAATAGCTGATCCCAGAGCTTACTGTCCAGCCAGCTGACTTGAATCAGTGAGCTCCAGGTTCAGTTCGAAAACTAAGGTGGAGAGTGAGGATGACAAGCAATACCAAACTCTGACCACACACACATGCCATACATGTGCATAAGAACAAGTATACCACACACACATCAAAAAATGAAAATCAAGTCCAATGCTATGATGTACACCTACAAGCCTAGTGCTTGAGAGGGTGAAGCAGGAGAGTTGCTACTGAGTTCAAGATCAACTTTGGCTACACAGGGAGTAACTAGCCCTGACATATTCTATGGCAAAACCCTGTCTTTAACTGGTAGATGGGCTGGAGAGATGGCTCAGTGGTTAAGAATGCTTATTATTCTTTCAGAGGATCGGGGTTCAATCTCCAGCACCCACATGGCAGCTCACAACCTTCTGTAACTACAGCTCCAAGATATTTAATACTCTCTTCTGGTCTCTGTAGGCACCAGACACACACTGGTACATAAGACATATACACATAAAAAATACCCATGTGTATATAAAAGAAGAAATTGACAAACCAAAACATTGGAGGGTCTGGGGATATAACTCAGCATGCGTAGTAAGTACATAGATAAACAAAACACTCAAAGGCATGAAAGGCAAAGAGTAGGCTGATAGATGTGCTGGGGCATGGGAAAGAAATTGCATTTTGTAATAGGAGCCATTAAAAGTCATGGGAGCCAGGCAGTGGTGCATACCTTTGACCCCAAGCTGGCAGATCTCTGTGAGTTAGAGGCCAGCCTGATCTACAAAGTGAGTCCCAGCACTGCCAGGGCTGTGACACACAGAATCCCTGTCTCAAAAAATTAAATAAATATGAAAGAGAAATTAAATAAATAAAGGCATTGCTCCAAGACAGCAACCTGCCTCTTGCCCTCTCCCAGCCCCTGGGTCTTGGCAGGGCAGTCACCTGCCCTAGTTTCACCAGGATACAGATTATTTCATCAGTGAGAACCTACCCCAAGTGCCACTGTGGGAGGGACAGCTTCTGCATTCTCCACAGACCTTAGTCTTGTTGCTGGGGAGGAGAGGAGGTCTATTAAAGCCGTCCCAGGTGCCTTACCCAGCATCTTCCCTACTGTGCTGGCAGTCTGGAGATGTGGCACTTCTAGGACAAGGAAATCAACTATCACATAATGGTGAGGAATGCTTTGAGCCTACAGAGACTTAGGTGAAAGTTCAAGGTAAGGCCATAGGAACTGAGGCTTGCATTGCTGGAAGATGTGGTCATCCTTTGGCAAGTCAAAGGAATAGAGGTAGTGCCCTGCCTCTCTTCCCAGTTTCATAGCCCTGCACAAATCCTCCCCA